ATATGACAAGAACTTATACAAGACTTCATAACTGACAAAGCACTACATATACATTGAGTCCATAGCAGAATTACAATTTGGGAAGGTAAAGTATTAACTTCAGGTTATTGATCAGTAAGCAGGCTGAGAGAAGCTAAGTGAAGGTCACCAAGCTAGAAGTAGCAAAGCTGGGACTTGAACTTCATATCAGCATACCCTGTATCAGGTACTCTTTTTCTCTATACCATTCCATTTTCATTCTTGTAATACTGGACATGGGGACATTATGGACAAATATGATAGATCATGATACAGAAGAATGATAATAATCAAAACTCAGATTTTTTAATTTGTGTATGTAATCTAATATGATAAACCATGTGAGAAGTTTTTATAAATGAAGTTAAGATATTCCAAGAGAGTTGAAAATCAAAGAAAGTATAAATTCTTAAAAAAAAAAACCCAACAACAGTCTTGCAAGTTTTTCTGTTTTCTTTTTTTAATATTAAGCATTGTTATAGAAGGCATGCCTAGGGTCATTTGATCGAATAAATATTCTACTTTTATTTTCCCAAACAAAGGATAAACTATAGCCTTTCGCATAGGTTATTTCAATAGGAAATAAAGATTAAAGCAGGCAAGCCCCAGGAGATGTTTTAAGTTGTTTTCATTTTAATGAAAACATGACTTTGTTTTCTTCCTGTTCTATCTTTGGGGTCAGTTCAAGGTTTAAATTAACCTAGGTTCTTGTGTATTTGTCTCTGAAGATGAAGTTAGCAGTAGATAGTTGTGGAAATGAGAGATTAATAACTTTTGTTGAACAGAATCAAAGAGAATACCACATGATCATTATAATAGCCACTCTCCTCCTAGATTCAGGAATCAAATCAGCAGAAGAGATGGCTAATCTTGTTTTCTTGTGGAAATGAAGAGCAAGTCAAGGCTCAGAAGGGAGCATTTAATAATATGGAAGAGGAAACAAGACAGGATTTATTCTTCAACTGGGTAGATAAGAAATGAAGACTTGTTTTGTACTAGTGCAAAGATGTTTCCTTAGACGTCTTACCATGTGGATTTAATTAGCAAAATCTTTGATATGTAGTAGTGATGCAGTTTGTCTGAACTCCTGTCGCTTTGATTCTCTGTGAAGGAACATGACACGTAAGTAATGAAGGGCACCAATTCAGAGCCCTGCTATATGCATTTATTTCTTTTTTTTTACAACTTGTAGAAAAATAGAATCACTTGTGACAAAATACACAAATGGTTAGCTGTAGAATTATAGAGCTGACAGAAACTCTACAAATCATTCAGTGTAATTTATTCAATGTACTGGTTGATATGCCCACTTACAGAATTTGAAACCAACACAAAACATTAGTATTTCAAATAGGGCAGAAGGATGAGAATTATACTTACGAAAATGAAAAGAATGTTTATGGAAAATTTACAGAATAGGTTGGTCTATTTCTGTCAACTACAAAGATTGTTTACGAAAGGAAACTGAAAATAAAATGGCTTATCCTTGCCAGCTTTTCTTGGGAAGTATAGTAATATAGTGACTATTGCCCTAAAAGGAAAGTAAAGACTTAGTTTCCATTCTTGTTTCTTCATTAATTTATTAGACACTTAGGGGGTAACTCACCAATTTCTGTTATTATTTTGTTTGTTTCTCAATAAGATCAAACATTATATTTATTATCATGAGTTCACAGAAACATTGGAAAGATTAATAAGATATTATTTTTCAAGAGCTTGGAACACATTGTGGTTCTGCTATTTTGGCAAATAAAGTAGATAAATGAATAAGTTAAGCCTTAGTACTACACTTTTTTCTTCTTTTTTAAATCACTAGCAGTTGCCAAGAGTTACCAGACTTTTTTTTTCATTTTACTTTGTTGTTTTCTCAAAAGTCAAATCAGTAGAAGAAATAGCGAATCTTGTTTTTGCATGAAAATGAGGAATAAATGAGTTCACTTTCCATTCTGCCTTATTCTTTTAGATCTTAATATAGTAAACTGAAAATTATTGTACGATTTTCTCATGGATATTTACATTGTTTTTCCTTTTCCGGAAAACTTCATACACTAGCTATTTCTAGCCATGGCACACTCTATTAAACTTTCTAAATAAATAACAATGTCTATTTTAAGCAAATATTTTAGAATTTCCACAGACTTGGTGTTGTAGGCAATCAGAAAAGGGGGCAGGTTTTATTAAATGTCTTCTAGATCAGCAGTCCCCACCTTTTCAGCATCAGGGACTGGTTTCGTGGAAGGAACTTTTTTTATGGACTGAAGAGGTTGGGCGGGGGGGAATGGTTTCAGGATGATTCAAGAGCATTACATTTTCTGTGCACTTTATATCTGTTATTATTACATCAGCTCTACCTCAGATCATCAGGCATTAGATCCTGGAGGTTGGGGACCCCTATTCTAGCTCCAGGGTGGCAAGGTTATACCTATATTTATTTATACTATAATATTTAGAGAAAAACATATTGATCCATTTCAGTGCTAAATGATATAGAGGGTCATTGTTCATACTATTTGATTTCTAAATAGAATATGATCCAAGATGATGGTGTTATAGATAACATTTTATGGATTTTATTTATTAGCATAATTTAAAAATAATTTCACAAAAATTGTAATTTAATAATACACCTTGGTTGAAATAATTTGAAGTTTATTTGTAACAGAAATTTTCAAATATATTGTAGGATTTATGGAAATAAAATGTTCAGTGCTCCCTCTCCTGGTTTTATCATACCAGTGAACTGACCTCTTTTCCCCAAATTGTGGTAATAGCAGAGAAGACAGTTTCGAAAAACCAAATAAGATACCATCATGGAATATTGTATTTCTGATTTGATTCTTTCAAAGCCATTCAAATTGTCCAAGAAACTTACCCACTGGTTAAAGTTTATTACTTCTCCAAATATGAGATATATGAAAATAGAAAATATGTACAATAATGTTGACTTTAGCCTTTGAAACAGCCTATTTTATTACAATTTATATTATTAAGAGTGAATAGGTAGCTTCTTGGTTTAATTTTTGTTCTGAGTTATTTTCTAGTGATGCTTTCTTGTTAATGGTTTTAGCAGTGCCCTAGTGTCCTGAAAGGCCATTCCAAATAGAACTTTAATTATTTTAAAGAACTCAAATATTAGAAAATCTCGAATAGAGAAAAAAAAAGTTTCAAAAGAATTACTTACTATTGTAAAGAAGAATATTTAAAAATTATTGAAATGTCCATACTCAAGTTTATATGATTTTTTACTGAAGTTTTGTTTGCTTTATTTTGTCAAAGACTTTAAGCTACTTCTTATATGTAGGACCTGCAAAAAATATTTCCCTTTCCACTTACTATATGTTTCTGGGTTTTAGGTATCTTTTAAGAATCTCTGTGGAAACTCAAATTTCACATATTGTTACCCTCACAGCAGCATGAAGTACATGATTTTGATAATAAATGTCTAAAATCCAATAGTCTGTAAGGAAACAAAAAGCATTTTTCCTACTGATTAAAATGCTTTTTTTTTTCAGTGACACATCATATATACTTAAGAATTATAAAACCTCTTAGAAAATTATTTCTATTTTAATTGATTTCTATTTAGCTGATTTTTAAAAATAAACTTATTTTTTCAAAATTATATAAATATCTTACAAAATTGAAGAGAGTCTGGGATTTTTACAATTTTGATTTTGGGGAAATTACATCACAAATCAAGATAGAGCAATTATTATAAAATCTACAGGAGGAAATCATACCTTTATCACATATTGTTACATACATTTTCAGTAAAGCGCGCCACGTTTTAGATTTCACATATTCTGAACTTTGCTTTAAATTGGATCTGTAGTGGCATATCATCATCTTTTTTATATCAATATACATTATCTCACTAACTGATCAGTAGTGAGGGCTTGATATACAACTTTTTAATCTTTTAGTCTTCAAAGTTGTTTTGTAATTCCACTTTTAAGGGTAGAGTTCACCAATCCTTTTGCTGAGATTTGATAACTGAAGACTGCTAACTAAATTTCAAGGTATTCTTTTATGACAAAAGGCATTTGCAGGATTTTTTGAGGCAATCCACATTTTCAGAGGATGTTTTTTAGGGGAGTGTACAGGGCAACATATCCAAGTGGGTACTCTTAAAGGAAAGAGGAAACGACTGTTGGGGAAATCCTGCTCCAGGTTTTCAGGCAGCCCGTATGATTGACACATGATATCACTGGAGGCGTGTCCTGGAGTGGAGGTGGAGGTGGAGGCGAAGAGCTGAAATTCTGCGGAGCCGGAGTGGGACTGCTCTGTAAGGCACGCAGTGGTTTGCAGAGTGATAGCCGCAGACACAACTCCCAGCCCTGGAAAAGGAACAGCTACAGTTGCTGTAAATGTGCCTGAAAAGCAATTTCCAATCTTTGCTTTAGGTAAGAACTGTTTCCTTCCTTTCCTTCCGTGGACATTTTAAGGAAAGATCAGGTGAGAAATGTTGGCTTTTGCAAGGAACTGATTATTTCTTTGAACTCGCTTTAGATCTAAGATTACTGGTTGCATTTCAAATTACCAGTAGCATTCCCACTGCTAAAACGAATGCTCTTAAAGTAAATGCTACCACTAAAAGAAAAAACAGGGTCCTTTTCCTCCCCACCCCCACAACCACCTCCCCCCCAGCCAAGCAGTAACAAGTTTCAAGCCTGAAACAGTCGGATGTGTGAAAAACTGGGTGGGTTTTTTTTTTTTTTTTTGCCAAAGAGGGGCTGGCATTCGGTGTGTGGACCAAATGCATGTTTGTTTAGGCATTGTTGGCGACCGAATCCTGAGAAGCAATTGTTTAAAACCTGAATTTCCCGTCTCTGTGTATTGATTTCCAATGCGCAGAGGCGTCGCTTGAACGTTGTTTGAACTCTTAGGCATTCCAAGGGGCAAAAGCACTTCGGCAAAAACGTGCAAGACTGCATGTTACTTTGGTTCGCTGCTGACACGCCGACTGTGCGCCCGCCTGTCAATCACAGGGAGCAGCAACAGCCAGCACATGGGTGCGGGCGGCGGGCGAGCTGGCGAGCGGCCCGCTCCACTCCACTCTTCGCCCGGGCGGCGGAGCGCGCGGCCAGTCCAAGTGCCTGGAAAGAAAGGGAAATTAACGTGTTCTTATCTCTAATCGTTTGTAGCAGGCGTTTCGGCCGCGGAACAGGAGGGTCGGAGGACTGGGAGTGATCGCTGCCCGGGAGAGGCTGACTGCCAGGACCGGAGTTCCCAGGGACGCCGTGCCCCCACTTGCCCGGCGTGCGGGATCGGGAAAGTGCCTGGACCTGCGCGGGGGCCGAGGGACGACGCCCCGCCTCCTCCCCGGAGGAGAACCCCCAAACCTCGCTCCCTTCACCACCGCCCCTAAAAAAGCGGGTAAAAACCAAAATCCCACCCACCCCCACCCGCGGGGAGCGGCGCTCGGGCCTCTCAGGCGTGTACTCCCAGCGCGGCTCCGTGACTCGTCCGCGGACGCCGGTTCGAGCCCCGTCCCGGGCGCCGCGGAGCCTCAAACGTCCGTGACGTGGATTTTCACGCCTCAGGAGGCCGCCACTCCCGCCTTTCCCGCGAGGAGCGACTGGACCCCGAGGAGAACTCTGGTCAGAGCACAGCGGCGGGTCGGCCGGCCAGTCACGCGCTCCTCTCCCCGCCGCTCCCCAGCTCGCTTTCCGGAGAGACCCGGAGAGCCCTCCTGAAGGGATTTTTTTTTTTTTTCCTGACTCTTGGAAGGGGGCTACAGGAGAAGAACCCCGGAGGTGGATGTTACTGAGCTGCGCGGCGCACGCGAGCTGTGAGAGGTCTGCGCCTGGCCGCGCCGAGTCTCCAGAGGATTGTCCCCCGCAGCCGGAAGGGGGCCGCGGGGAGCGCTCCTGCCCAGCGGCAGAGGCCGCGGGCCGACCGGCCGCAGCTCGTACCATGCCTCCCCGTCCTCCCCGCCGCGGTTGATGCGGCGAGTGCAAGCAGTCGCCCGCACCGGGACCCAGGCCGGGTTGCACTGCTTGGCCGCCCGCCCCCGCTTCGGCCTAGGTGAGTGTGGGGCGGCCGCCCTCGGGCCGCGGGGGCGGGAGGTGCACGGGCGGGGCGGGCCGGGCGGCAGGTGCGGGCCCCGAGGAGCGGCGTGGAGGCCCGGACCGCGCGACGGGCAGGGAGCGTGGGGCCACCCCCTCTCGCGGCCCGGCCCGCCCGCGGGGCGCTCAGAGCTGGGCAACCCGAAGAGCGACCTTTCGCCTCCGCGCGGGACGGCGAGGCGGGGTCCCCGGTCCTCAGTCGCCTGCAGCGGCGGCGCGGGGACCCGGGGTGTCCTCTCGGGGAAGGGAAACCCCTCCACGCGAAAGATGCATTCGGGGAGGCTTGGGGCGGGGGGAGGGTCCCCGGGAGGAGGACCGCGGAGCTGCTCGGCGGGTGCCCGCGGCGGGCTTTCCGGATCTGAGGATCCCTCGGACGGGGGCCTCCCGAACGGCGTGTTCGCGCGCGAGTGCCAGAGCGGACCCCCGGGTCGCTGGGGACCCCTCACTTTATTCTTGTGAGCGCAGCGGCGCGGCGGGGGCGGGAGAGGGCACTGCCACTTTAAAAGTGCGGAGGTCCGCCCTCCTGAGGTAATGGTAGCCTCAGCCTCCTCCCCTCCTCCTGCCCGAGAGAGCGGGGAGAGAGAGGGAGCGAGAGAGAAAACTTGTTTTCATTCATAACTTTTTCCTTTTCCTTCCTCTCCGTCAACTATTTATTCCCCGCTCGTCTCAGCGCGGATTGCAGAGGGCGCAGCTCCACCGCGGGAACCGGCGATGTGGCGACACCGCTCCGCCGCCCCGGCCCCCGGCTTGCTGCGCCCCGGCTCTTTAGGAATCCGGCTTCTCCTTTAAAGTGTAGACAGATATTTATTTATAACCCTCCCTGCCTTGGGCTTGCTTTTTGGCGCCCGCATTCGCTCCGAAGGCTTTTCCTGATTTGTAAGCATCCTTGGTGGCATACGCCAAAAGGCTTTGGAAATCCACGGTGATCCTTAGAATGTGATGGGATTGTCCGAAAAGGTATTCGACTTCGATTCGGGGCTTTCTTGGGGGAGAAGAGTCTGCCGAGAGCGTGTGAGCGTGTTTGGGGCTAGATCCAGGGCTGTCACTGCTGGAAAAGGGGCTGTGCTTCAGATCCGAGGTGGCTGACATTCTTTGCTTTTTCTTTTTATCTGGTGGCCTCCTTTACCGGCCAAGAGGAACTTTGTTACAAGCTAGCATTTAAGACTCAGATTAAAGTCGTGCCTTGTGCTTTTTCTACTCTCTTCAGATCCACGTTTTTTTCTTTCGTGTGGAGTCTGACTTACTACTTCTAGATACTCTTTGCTTTAGAAGCGCTGGGTTAGGAAGTGCTTTGCGAGGAGGACTGATACTGCAGTGTAACGATGGAATCTTTTTACCAGTCCTTAGGGACTCCAGGACTAAACCCAGCAGGTAGTGACCGTGTTCCTCTGGTGGAGAGGAGGTAGAAGAAACTAGAAACTTGAGGCTCCGAGTTGGGAGAATGAGCGGGGGTAACGCCAAGAACTTAACATGTAAGACTGTCCAGGGCCATTCAGTGAAGTTAATAGATGAAATGGACTTCTTTCTGCCTTATTCCTGAAGCTGATGAGATTTGGCTCATGGTAGTGGAGAATAGGCATTTTTTCCTTTGCATTCTTGAACTGGATCAGATCTGTAGATTGTGGGAGGATTTGTGTGAAAAATATTCTGGTTTACCATTTATGAGAACAAAAACGTTTTTGTGTTTAATAGACGGTTTTATGAAGAATACATTATAAATTAGAAGTAATTTATCATTGGTATTGAAACAGATTTTTACCTGGATATTGCTATACTTTATTACAAGAAGCACATTGATTCAGAATTGGCAGTGCTTTTGAAAATCAAGATCTGGCATGTAAATACAGATTTTTAAATTAGAGGAAATACAGATAATTAAAATCGCCAGGATTTCCCCATATTACTTTAAAGGCCAGACACTTATTTGTATGTGAAAGTTACCTTGTTATGTGAGTGATCCTTATTTAAACTTAAAAAAAGAATCAAATGTGAATGGTCAACATTTACAGAACTGTACATTGAGTTTTGTGTGTGTGCTTTAGAGGCTATAAAACACCAAGAACTGTTGTGTTTGTCTGCATTCACTTTTACATCTTGTAGACTAATAGCGAGCTAGGTTTAAAATTCTGGTTTCTACTGAAGATGACCTCTTAATTGGAGATTCCATTTCAGTTTGGAGTGTCTTTTTTTTTTTTTAATGCATGAAGTATACCTTGACTAATTTCCTGAACACTAATCTAATGCTTATAACAGCAAACAGATAACTAAAGACAACAGCACCATAGCCATTTTTAGTTGTTTTTTTTTTTTTACATGGATATTTTCTTTTATGGAAAATACCCAGAGTTTCTTTAGATGAGAGCTGTTTATTAGTGCTTATACTCAGTGTTCCCCACAAGGGCATACTCCATTTTGTTTGTTAGATTCACAAACAGGAAGACATTACTTCTTGATTCTGCTTTTTAAAAGCTGAAAAAAACTTCCAGTTCTTATGGCATGGGGTCTCTTGCTTACATTCCTCTTCTATGATGTGGTCCTAAGCCTCTCTCAGAATTGGACTCTGGCCAGGACCCCAGCATCATTGTAATCCGCTGATGAGGGAGATCATTACCAGGTGGTTTAGGCAATTTGTGACTTGACAGGATTTCTCACCTCTTCCCCCCCACCCCCCGAATGCTTCTAGTCATTTATTTTCTCTGTTTTTTGTTTTTTTTTCCATCTTTGATTTCCTTTTAGGATTTCAGATGCATGCCAGGTTTCCACTGATTGCCAGAAATCACGATCACTACACATGGATCCCCAAAATCAGCATGGCAGTGGCGGTCCATTAGTTGTGATCCAGCAGCCCGCATTGGATAACCGTCAGAGGCTAGACTATGAGAGAGAGATTCAGCCCGCTGCCATTCTGTCCTTGGACCAGATCAAGGCCATCAGAGGCAGCAACGAATACACAGAAGGGCCATCCGTGGTGAAAAGGCCTGCCCCTCGAGCCGCACCGAGACAGGAAAAGCATGAGAGGACTCACGAAATCATACCGATTAATGTGAATAACAACTATGAGCATAGGCCTGCCAGCCACCCGGGACATGCGGGGCTCTCGGCTAACGCCAGAGGCCCCGTACTGAGCAGATCAACCAGCACTGCGAGCGCAGCCAGCTCCGGGAGCAACAGCAGCGCCTCTTCTGAGCAGGGGCTGTTAGGAAGGGCCCCGCCAGCCAGACCCGCCCCTGGCCACAGGTCTGAAAGGGCGGTCCGGGCCCAGCCCAAGCAACTGATTGTGGATGACTTAAAGGGTTCCTTGAAAGAGGACCTGACGCAGCACAAGTTCATTTGTGAACAGTGTGGGAAGTGCAAGTGTGGGGAATGCACAGCTCCCAGGACCCTGCCGTCCTGTCTGGCCTGTAACCGGCAGTGCCTTTGCTCGGCCGAGAGCATGGTGGAGTACGGAACCTGCATGTGCTTGGTCAAGGGCATCTTCTACCACTGTTCCAACGACGATGAAGGGGATTCCTACTCGGATAATCCTTGCTCTTGTTCACAGTCACAGTGCTGCTCTAGGTACCTGTGTATGGGAGCCATGTCTCTGTTTTTGCCTTGCTTACTTTGTTATCCTCCTGCCAAGGGATGCCTGAAGCTGTGCAGGGGGTGTTATGACTGGATCCATCGCCCAGGGTGCAGATGTAAGAACTCCAACACGGTCTATTGTAAGCTGGAGAGCTGCCCCTCCCGGGGTCTGGGTAAACCATCATGATTTTTGGAGGTGGGTTGGACCTCCTGAACTTCTCTTGCTTTCAAGCTGTGGCTGTTAAAAAAGATGCTGTCAGATACTGGTTTTATTTTCTTTGCAGCTTTCCCCTGTTTCCCACCTTTCTCCCCTTCTTTCCAAGGTTTGGCTCATGGATTGTACTCTTCTCTAATGGATGGTCTTCGGTAAGAGTGGACTGTGAAATGCGTCTGGCTCCCCCTTATGACAAGAGCCTCTGCCATCCACTTGAGAGGGTATTGAGAGCTAGTGGGCTTTTGTGTAGCCTTTTTGTTCTGCAAGCAACTTTCCAAAGTTGTACACATGAACATATCCACACATGTACACCCAGACTACAGTGATTTAGAGCTGTCTTTGATTGGGTACTCTGGGAACAGGGAAATTGGTGTTTAAAGAAGCAGCCGTTTAATTGCTTAAATAAGCTATATATTAAACCTGTCTCCAATTAGGGCTATCTTCATAGCATTGGACACTTAAGTAGCATGGGAGATCTGTTTTTGTTACAATGTTAAAATTCTCCTTTAACCACTGCCCTCTCCTCTCTCCTCAACCTTCTATCCCCTCAGTTTTGGCCTTATCTTATTTTAGAGATGCCAGGTTTTTTGTTTTTTTTTCTGTGTAATTTTAGGTCTGCTTTACAATGTAAGTCTTCACATTGGAGATATATTGGTTGTATCTTGCTCATCCTTATTCAAGCTTTCATATTTGTGAAGGACTCGACTCCCTCCCTTCTGTACTCCTTGCTTTTCACCAAATTACTCTTGTCATTGAGGGCACTTGGATAACTGAAGTTGATATTTATATCTGATCAATCTATAGATGTCACAGAACTATGCTGCCTGAAGTGATCTTGGCTCCTTATTGGTTTTTGGCCACTTGGTTAGTTAACAGCTGGGTAGTTCTAATCTTTTCTGTTTCATTGCCTTAACCACAAATTGTGGTGCTTTTTGTATATTTTATGTATAAATCACAAAGTTGAATTCTGACTATTTTTAAGACAAAAGTCTGTTAAACTTTTTTATTGTAAAGAATATTTATTATGCGAATCTCTATTATTTTATGATATTTATTGCAAAAGACTGTTGAAATGTACTCATGTCTGAATATAACAAAATATCAATACGTAACGGAAAATAAGGTGACACGAAGAAAGTACATATGTTAACTATAATGCAGAAAATATATTAATTAATGAAACTGACTGTTGATTTCTTCATTTATTAGCGTGTACTGTTGTGATTTTGTCATTTGCTTTGACTCTTTCTTCATGCATACCCATTTTCTTTCCCTTAATATACCAAATCTAGATGTAGGTGAGCTCAAATCTTGAACTAGGTGTTTCCTGGAAAATTCATTAATCAGGATTTTGTATTCCAAATTCTGTTTTAACAAATGCCCAAGTGAATCACTTTACAAAGTGAAAAAAAGTTTTTTTGTGATTAATATTAACAATTCCGTCCCTCCTTTGGCTGTTTTGTAAGCAAGGGGTTTTGTGTATATCAATTTCTTGGAATGGGACATACCTGTATGTTTTAAATAATGTTTATCTTAACTCTTGGATTAGTCTGAATTTAATTTTCATCAGCAAAACTTAAAAAATTAGTTCTGTAGCCATACTAGTAATCTCTGGCACTGTCACTTTAATAAGACATTATAGAATTTAAGAGTGCATCAAGGGGATAGTTAACATTATCAAAGAGATGTTTTAAAAACATTCCAATCCTTTTCATTCCTTTAATAAGTATTTAATGTGCCCTGATCAAATAACATTGTGTCATGTCTCTTGGAATTAGAAATGTGAGGGTGTGAAACTTTGTATTAAAAAAGTACATGCTTTTAGTTTTTAGCCTGCTGAAGTCAGGACATAGAATCTTTGGGTCCGATAAAATTTTGTTCACGTGACTCCTCAGACTCAATTTCACTAACTCCTCCGAATGCCTAAGTGATGTGTCAAACCTGAATAATCAGCATTTGAGAATAAGATGTTGACATAATTTGAACCCAGGATTTAGGCTGTCAAAACTCTTATCCAGCTTTTTTGTTTTGGTTGTTGTCTCTTACATGATTTGACTACTAGTTTTGAACTATTTATCCCTTGTAAATAGGCTTTGATTTTGTTTTAATTAAATAAGACATAAGTGATAGAAAGTTTTAATGCATTTCCACCAAGCCACTAAACCTATTAGTTGGCATTGTGACATTTGGCTTAATCAAGTATTTTCTCTATGCTCTGAAAGTAGGAACATTTTTAAAATTTCATAATCTATGTTATTTTAAAATGTGAATTTGTTTCCTCCTGTATTCAGGTTATGTGGTGATATCCCTGGTCCCTGAATATTGAGTATTTCATGGAGATTTGGCTCCTTAATGAAACATATAAATAGACTCCTTCAAAATACTGTGTAACTTTTTTCTGTTGTTTAGACCCTTCATATAATCAGGAATTGGTGTAAGAGCTGCCTGTAGTTAAACTAACCAGACTAAGAAGCTATGGCTTTTGTTGAAAGAAATTTATAACTTTTATGAGAATAAGGTATGTTGTGGAGTTTTAACTTCTGGCTATATGGGGAATACATTAAAATTATAATATTAAGATGGCAGTCTGCTGCTGCTAGAGTTCTATATGCACTCTGGCATAATGTCAGGCCCATATTTGGAAATAGCAATATGTTAGGGGTTCAGACTTCTAACATGCTTGTCAGAGACAAAGAATAACACTTTGATTCAAAACTTCCTCCTTTGTGATGGTTTAAACCTAGAAGGAAAAAATATTAGGATGTGTTTTCATCAGTGCTCATGAGTCCAATGTGTTTCAACTGAATACTGATGATCATTTTAAAGTGCTGAGGCTTTGAAAGCATTGGCACAGCTGACATTTCTTATAATACCCCTGCCATTCATTTGATACTGCCAAGTTAAAAATACCACATAGATAGATTAACCTTTCCCTTTTATTCCACAAGTTTGTCCCTCTTCCTCAACTACCAAAGCTTGACAGAATGAGTATTTTTTAAGTAGTTCCTTTCCAGCATATTTTCTGAGTGCCATTCTTTTCATTCAAAGAAGTTTTATTTGGATAATTTAATTGTGAATAAAACCAGTAGAGGATTTCTGTAATTGAGTAATTTCCTGTCAACAGTTTAATAAAATGTAATTCAGCAGAAAAATGGACTATGAAAAAGTAGATATACTTTTTTGTGAAGACTTGAGGTGAATCCTGAAATTATAATCTGTGATAATTATTATATAGTTTTCAAAACACAAATCATAGAACTTTCCAGTTATGACTAAGAAAAAAAATTAAAAACAGTGGTTTTTAAAGTTAAAGGAAATAAGTTAACTAATCATGTTTTTACCCTAAAGTTAATATTGAAATCAAACTCAGGATTCATTTGCAGAAGATTGATTTAATTTTTGAAATTGTCTCCTTTTCCTGAATCTTCCCTTTTTTTGTTGAGTGATGTATTTCATGGTAGTTTTATGTATAACTCTTTAGCAAAAAGGCATAATCCCATTTTTAAACATTGAAAAATGGAAACAAAGAATGTCTAGACAGTTCTCGTCTTAAACTCTGCCCCACCTCCGACTGTATATAAATTGCAAGAGAGTTTGGTATCATTTTTTAAACATCTTGAAGACAAAACTTTAAATCCCCCTTTGGCCAGTTGACAGTTGGAGAGCTGTTTTTTTCATTATTGCCCTCACTAGATAAGATGGCCATGAATTTAACTGACAAGTTTTTGATTCTTCTCATATTACCTCAGATTATTACCAAGCCATTTTGCTGCATGTATTGAGCCCCTACCATGTGCATTATTCCATATGGAGAAGAATTCTAGAGCTAGAAATAGATATCAGAATATACTTTATGTTTCTCAACCATATATGAAAGTAAATAGGTCACTAGTTAAAAAGTTAAAAATCAGAAGTCTGTGTCATAGTTCAGACCTACTCTATCAGAAGATATCTCCAGGGGAGGAGCTTGATATTCTTAATTTCAAAATCTCCTTGGGTGAGTTTATCAGGCAATTTTGTAATTGCTTTTTTAGCTTCATGTCGTCATCTTGAGAATAGAGAAACAAAGGCCTGGCTTAAATGTTCATGATAGCTAGCATAGAACGGACTCTTCAGATACAGGGTTTTCTTCATTTCTTAGCAGCAAGCCTGGTACCTTTATGTTGCACATTAGCCTTTACCATTTCTTTTAACCAGAAAGTGTTTCCTTCATAATTAATATATTTGACCATAACTTAGGAAATGGAATGTTTTTCTTTGTATATTATTTACACTTAGCTATCAGGAATATGTAGCAAATGACTTCATTGCCATGATTATTTTTCATATGTTATTATTAAAGTTAACAACTTCATTTGAAAACTGAGATTGTGTGCTTCCTCTGGCCAGGTTTATATGGTAATAATAGAACAAATTGATTTTGATCAGTTTGTAAAGCTAACAGTAACCTGGCATCTAGATTTAAGAACTTACGTGATGGCTCTTAGCATTATTCTAGTTATATCAAAATTATAGTGATTAAAAAGCAGATTTAAATGTTCTATTTTGTACTGATAAAAAGATTGGTGTTAAAGTCAGATAGCTGAATCATACTAGGTATGCCAGTAACAGCAAAACCTAGAGACTGTTTTGAACTGGGCAATTTGGGAAAGCATACTAAAGCTTCTATCATTCACTAGCAAGTAGTCCAAGAGCTTGTTTTGATAAAATAACCATAGAATCATACTTCTAATGATAGAAACTTGGAGGTCATCTATTGCATCTTCTTTAGAGATGAGAAAGCCAGGTTCACAGAACTTACTTACCTTACTTAGTCACGATCTAGTTGCCAAACTAAAATAAACTATTAAAAAACTGCTCGCTGCATATGTACCTGTGTAACAGATTGGAAGAAAGGAGAGGTTGGTTGGGGGCACAAGACAAGAGTTTAAACCAAAATTTCAGGTTAATTTGTTAGTTATAAAATTTAACAA